ACGCAATGAGACTTGGACCAAATCAGGTGAACGATTCCACACAAAAAAACCAATTGCGAAATCGCGTAGCAGCGCTTTGTTAGGACGCCAATCACTGTGGTCGTTCAAAAACAAGTGAAGCGTGCCCTCTAAAAAGTTTTTCCCACAAAACTCAATCACTGGACGATTAAAGCAGTAGCAACTCTGCGCTCGATAGGCATCGTGCTGAGCTAGCTGACGTAATTCGTCGTATTCGTACGGCCAGGCATGCACACATTTTGAGTAGGGAAAAGTGATCGACTCAGTTAACGCAGAGAATGTTAGTTCAATGAGCTGTGGATGACAAGAATTGCGTATACACACGAGAGTTTCGTCTCTGGCCTCAATGAGCGCAGGACACAAAAATATGCACACGAATTTCGGTTAGCACGCAAAGAATTACGCATCAAAATTATGAGGACGTGAATCGAAGATGAAGCGAATCAAACGAGCCGTGGCATGATGCGGATAAAACGTTCTAAACGGAAGTGTGATCAGTTGCAAGATTAAATCATGAGTAAGAAAATCACGCTTCAAACGAGCGCCATCTCCTCAGAGTGTGGCGAAAGTGGCCATGCCAACGCACGAAGTGATCGCCCTAGATTCCTTCCTGTAAACATGATTCCGTTGGAAAACAACATCAAATAGGTAGATCAAACGCGCGTGCGACAATGCAGCGACATGAATATTGCAAAGTAAGCTTGGGATATAGCGCTCATTCGATATACAAAAGAAGTTTGAATTCCGCGATGATGTTCGGTGATCCACTATCCATAATAGTCACGTCCGTACGTGCAACGGTGGCAAAACCTTGCCTATTCTGCTCAGAAAATGGAGCGTCGTATGTGAAACGGGATATGCAACAGCATACGGAACATAAATAGTTCCCGTGGGTGGTGATTGACAGCGTACAGATGGTTCAGCCTCAATAGCCATCCGATTTGCGCACACTCCTACGCTATTTCGTTGTTCAATAAACAATAGCGTGTGTAAAACAGCTGACATTAGCATAGGATTGTTTTTAGCAGGCAGGTTGGCTGTTGACAATCTGTGCTTACGTCCGGTTAGCTGAGGATTCTTTAGGCGAGGAGTAATGTACGTGGGTGTGCGTGGGTGTTGAACAAGTCATGAGTAAATACCTCGTGGTAGTAAGCGAAGACGTGATAAGGAGGGACCATCTACACAACGATGCAAGCACATCACTTGTTCATCGTCGTAAAGATATAACAACCATGAAAGAGAGGTTAGCAAAATGTGTTGCTTCAGCAGAACAGGTGGTACCGGAGCGTAAATGTGTAGAAATTTTCAGAAAGACAGAATCTTGTTGATGAATGGACGGAGCCTAACAGCAGTTAGCAGTTTTTCCTATGTGGTACGCTTGTGAAGCAAACGGCATTCTCCTCTTCAGTTAGTCGCTTCCTCTCAGTCATACTTCCGCTAGACAACTACACTTAAAGTTCATGAACAGGTCCGAGCATGCTTACTACTTAACATTGATCAGAGCGTGACGAGTCTCATTGCAGCCGGAACAACGGTCAAATAAAGTGAACTTTACTGAAAATAAGAGCAAAACAACGGAGTCCAACCCTGTGATAGAGCAATGTTCTTCGTGTCACTCAGGTTTGACAACCGGTCGCACAACAAGGACCCGTAGTGGAGAGTCATTTGCCTAGCAAGACAAAACGGAAAAGTGGATCCGCAAAAGTGCACATAAGTTTAACTGACGTCGCAAGTCAGGGTCTTAAAACAAGAATATAATCTCCCGAAGCATCTTGCAAACAGGCACAACGCTCAAAATTGAGGCAAGGTAAGGCAATATTAGCCCTCTCCCACTGTGAACTGACCCTCACGAATATCCGTGCGCAGATGAAACATGATGCATGTGAATAATTTGGGGAAAATTCGAAGTTTGAGATCAACGTTCCGACCATTTTGAGCAGAGAAGTGGTAATTGACAAATGGCTGTTTGATGATACCTTTTCCTTGTGCCAAATCTTGTGGAACAATGTAACCACACTGTCCAGCAACTGTCCTTAGGAACAATGAGCAAACGTCGTTGCGGCAAGATATTTTGTTTCGTGCCAGCAGAGTGATGCCCCTATTTGGTCCTGGAAGCAAAAAACACACAATGGTGAGTAGGCTGAATCGCTCTCAAATAGGCTGAGTGCATGAAGGTGAAGTAGTTGATTCGAATTCCGCAGTTATTGTCCCAAAAACCTGAGCGAGCCAGTGAATCCAATGGGTCGGAACAGAACTCGAGCGTTCCGCGTGGAACTGCGCTTCGATATATATGGTGTTTTGGTAAAGATGCGGCCTATACTCTGGTACCGTTTCAAGGTGCTTCTGACATACTGAAACTGACTTCCCAACGAAGTTATTCGCAGTACTTCAATCAAACTAATGCCAGGTCCAAGAGTCCATCCCCTACTCTGACTCCTCAAACCAAGCGAGGGAGCTGCCTCGAATGCATAGCGCACTGAAGACCATATCAATGGAAATCCAAATTGACCAATTTGTTCTCCAATGACAATTGAGGCGCAATTAAAATTGATACTGCTGTTTTTGTTGAAATGCGGGCGCGGAGGACAAGCAAGGTTGAAGTTGCGCAATTTGCCAAACAAAGCGCAAATGCAGGCCCGTATGACAACGCGGTCTGAATAGAAGTGGCTGATTAAGAGACTAATAAGCTTGCAACATAAGTGTGCTGTCAGCAGTATATGACGAATATGATGGTATCAAAATAGCAGTTGCAACCATATTCGATGATATCGAAGTGGCTAATCGGTGACATTAATGGACCGCTCTATTCATCGACAGAGCATTACAATCGGCGCGGCGAATATAGTCACCATCACTAGAATTCGAGTTGGGTGATTAGAGCACCGCAGTTTTATGTATTATTCAGGAAAGACAATCTGTATAGAATCCAAAAATGTGGAGTCAGAGAAAGGATTGGTACATTCCGATTCGTCACATATAGCGATAATGCTAAAGTCTTTTTATGTGAGATGCTACAATAATCAGAAAACGTATCTTGAATCGCTGATAGCGCATGCTTGGAGTTAGACCCGGTGTTTTGCCGCTGAGCACGCAAAGGAGAAGAGACAAAGAAGAAAAAGGAAATACGCCGGCGACAGAGTATTTTGTGAGAATCATATTCTCTAGCTACCAACTGAAAGATGCTTGTTGAGGATGATGAATTTCAGTTTGTTGCTCAATGATTAAAGTCATAATGCAGTGCAGTGAATGCATATTTGGTTGTTTAAGTTGGCGGAGCGAATGACCGATCAGAGAATGCAACTGTCGTCTTGAAGAGACTTGAGCTGTGCTAGCTACACATGACCTTTGAAGATACGTGCCCTCATGTGGTTTAGACCGCAGTTTGCGGTAGGATTGTATTCTGTTGGCTAAGAGCTATCATTGCTTGAAGAGGACGCCAGTAAAATCGCAAACAGCATTTGAGCATTCACTAACCAATGACGCTAAAACCTCGTACCGACTGTGCAACTCTAGTAAACGGTTGTTCTCAATGACTGATTTGCAGGAGCGCACCCATTTCAAACATTCCACAGGAAGGTCATAATGAAGTTATCTGGCTTTTAACCAATGTGAAAATTACCAGCTAACGCAGCTCGATTGGTTACGAGGAGAGGCTAATAACCTGGTCATGTTTGGATCAAGTTCAGCCGTGACCGAATCAGCACATTCGTCGTCGTATGAAGTTCGGTCCTTGTTTGGTTGCGTTCAATCTCAAGTTAGGAACCCTAAGTTTTGCTACTTACTCAAATCCTTATGCTGACCAGCATCGCAGAGAGTGGAGTTGTTGCAATTTTGTCACAAAAATAGTTGACTAAATGAGCCGAATGGAACCATGGGACTCGGTTAGCGAGTCAGGAATTCATAACATAGCAGAATGATTACAAAAAACATAAAATACAACAAAAATTCGTTGAACAGATGGTTAAAACGCGGGTGGAAGTCTGGAGAGCAAGCTATGAAGGAAAAACCACTAATAAACCAATTTCGTCGAGCATCAACGGGGTAGGATTAGAAAAAATGGACAAAAACTACTACCCTCCCCAGATGGCATTTGAATGGTGCGGAATATGCATGCATGTTGATCAAGGTAATAGAAAAGAAAGAGAACGAAATACTTCAGCAGTACGCCGGTACACAGTACTAACGCTTCCTTGCCGCGCAATCACTACTAGTCGCAAGTGGGCTAAGGATACTGCGAGGGTCGTTCGGTCCCTACGCAAACTAGAATCTGAGCCCTCAAATTACAATGCAGGCTTGTGATCCTTAAGGCTACGGGCCGGTAACCTATCAGATGAGAGGATAGTAGACCAGTTACCGTATGGATCAATGAGAAATGCTCTGAGATTATAGGCCGATACAGTGAACGGTGGACAAAATGATACGCTGACAAGTGGTTACCGATGGTCAATCGACAAACACAGGATATAAAAAATAGAAAACAACAGTTCCCAAGTTTGACAGAAGCAAGGTTGATACAGTCGGGTGATTCTTGTGAAAACACAGTATTTAGTTGATCGGCTGGGCGAAGTTATCAGCTGAAAAATAATTACCATACACCAACATCGTCGCAGCAGGGAAGAACATGATTCGACAAATGACGATGCACTGTGAGAATCGAGAATTTGAACGAGACTGTAATGGTTATGGTTCCATAGGTCCATCGTTACAACAAACAAGCCCGAGGACCAAATAAAGTAGCCGTTCGCAAAAGAATAATGAAACTGGTTGCGGACATTACAAAACGATAGTGTACAATCCTCTCATACATGTCCCTGACGATATCGCGTACCCTGACCCTGACCATTTTGAGCAGCGTTATCAAATCCGCTGGCGAGGGAATGTACTCTGTGTGTGTGTGTGTGTGTGTGTGTGTGTGTGGCATAGCCAAAGTGGACTCGGTATGAAAACAAGCTTTGAAGAAAATTCGGTCATCAAGAGCTTACCCTCTGCCCATACAACCCAAGCGACAGTCCACGTCACGAGCAAGCAGGCCTTCGAGCAAACTTCTCATATCCGCAGACATGCTGTCGGGGAAGTCGAGATTCTGTGGTGAAAGAGAGGAGATGAGCCAAAAATGTCACAAAATTTCACTACAAGACGGATTGTGAGCCAACAACCTAAGGACAGATTGCCACGGTCTGAGTTTTCCCTTTGTGTGTACAACTTCTCTTATTTGTATCAAGCAATATATATTGGGAAAACAACCAGGCGTTTGTTCGAAAGTATTCGGGAAAATTGCCTGGCTCAGCAGTGGTATAAGGAGGATAAGAACGAGTACCGTATTATCACTTTGGATTTATACAAATCACCAGATCAAAACACAAGTGGCATCTCACACCATCTACCGGATACCCAGACGATACACGCGAACTGACAGATGCTGTCTACTGGCTACAGCAGAGGCAATCGCTATCCGACGCCAAAACCCGGAGCTATGTGCTCAAAAGAAACTCGTAAAGGCCATTCAGCTGCCCTGGCCACAGCTCGCCCCGACTAACGATAATGATTACATTATGCCACTTGATTTGACCTTGAGTAGACCATGAGTTTAGTTATACTGACCAGAAATTTCGATCCCTTTCTTTCATCATTGCTTTGGATTAGTGTTACGTTTAACCCCTCATACCGTGATGCAATAGCTTGAAGATGAACCACTGAAAAGGAGCGCGTTCGCTACATCTTACTTTTGATGCCTTCCCTGGGAATATTTTCCCAACTGCAGCGTTTTAAATGATAATGTGATTACTGTTAAGATATGGTTTGTGGAGACAAAGTTCACCAAGTGGAGGTAGTGCGTATGAGTGTACCTTTCATTCTAATGCAACCGGAGGTCCATTTAAATTGGCAATTAAAGTGGATGAGGAGGAGAATTTGGATGCACAATTCAATGAGGTAGCGGCAGAGACACTATCCTACCCGGTGAGCAGATAATTACAATGTCGAATGATATGGGATACAGCAAGAGCAAGCGCCATAATAGAAATACAAAATACGACACCCGTTGGCTTGGACGCAGGAGCAAGACCGCATAAACTGCATGTCAACATACGTGACTTGTGACTAGGGGAGATAAAGCAATCAAATTTATCCGCGATATGCGGATGAGGAGTTAAAAAGCAAAGCCGTAGGGGCAAAATATCGAACTCTAACCTCACATCGTTTAGCTTGAGCAACGATGGGAAACAAGATACAAGTCTTGATACTAATTTTCTCAGCCAATTGCATCTACTGCACTCTTAAAGTACTTTTAGGGAAATCATGTTCCTCTATAGACCTCTCAAAATGGCTCTTGCCGCCATTAAATTGCATCCAACGAGCGCGAACGCCCCTAAATGCCAAATCAGCCAATAGCATCCCATACTGCGTACCACCCTGATACACTATTGGCTGATTTGGGACTGGCCACTCAACGGACAGGGGCGTTTACGTCCTCTGGGTGCAACTTGAGAGATCTATGGAATAACATGAATTGCTTAAGAAAATTGAGAGCACTATGGATGCAATTGAGAAAATCTAGATACAAGATACCGAGAGGGAAACACTCACCATTGTCATAGTCATGCGATCGATTTCATGCTTGTCTTTCGTTTTGTGGTGTCGAAATGGGCTGTGACCCCGTAGAAGTTTGTACAGCATACATCCGAGGGAAAACCAGTCCGCTGAAGAGTCATAGGGGCAACCTTTTTGTAATACTTCAGGAGCCATATATCCGTGCGTCCCTACGCTGGCATGCGGCTTCCGTCGGGAGAAATCACAAGCAAGACCAAGGTCGCTTATTCTTACATGACCATACTCGTCCAGTAGGATGTTGGCCGGCTGAAAAGGTCAGTGGACGTAGGTAAGCACATCGGCTTGCAGTAAAAGAACAGTTTCTATAACTACAGCAGGACTGTCTATAGAATCATGCTGTCGGCTACAGTGAATCACAAAATGAATATATCGCAGTAGTATGCGATAGAAACCTCCTGCATCTTGCATAGTCAATGCATGTTGTAGGTTATACAAAGATTCCTCGGATACAACAACAATCAATGAGAGCGCACAAAAGAAAACCGCCTCGCAGTGGCTTCCATCGCATATGTGGTAATCGAATGAACGTCTGCACACTAGCATTGGATAGTGCCGGAGACAATAATGGAAAAATAGGCGGGCGTCTCGATAAACCACCTCGTTGAATAGGATATAAAAAAGTTAGCATATTGAATCAGTCCACGCTGTTAACGATGCCTTGCAAATCGCCTCGTGGGACTAAGTGAAACCGGAAATGCACAAGTGCATGTGCATTCTTAAACACAGTGTAGAGCAGAAAGCACACTAGTTAAAGGGAATTCATTTGACTGAATTTGGATTGAAGTACAGACACAGAAGATTGCCTACCTTTAAATCCCTGTAGACAACGTATCGATTGTGCATGTGTTCCAAGCCAAGGATCACCTCGGCGGCGTAAAAGCGAACCTCTGACTCGGAAAATATGTTGTGCTGCGTGAGATGATAGTGCAGATCGCCACCATTCATGAGATCCAGTATGAAGCACAACTTCTCCGGGGTTTGAAACGCATAGGTCATGCACACAATGAACGGACAACCATCCTGATGAGACAAAAAAGAATAGTCTTCACATATACGTCTGAAATGGTGTTGTCGTATGAATCTGACAAAGAAATATAGATCAAAAAAAGCTTTTAGAACAAAAAACATATGGAAAAAGCTTAACGCCTCGACAACACAGATAAAGGTTCCCATTGAGCTTGCTGCAGTTTTGCGATACGGTTACATGTATCGAGGGCCGGAAGATAATTATTGAAGAGTCAAAAAAGTAAAGTGGAATGCTAGCTACAGCAAACGCTGGCCATGAAGACAAACGGTTGTATACTGTAAAATATGTGCACATGGTGTCGCAAATGAAACTGGCAAAATGTAAAACATCCATAGTATCAGAAAGTTACAAATCAATACGACTTCCCATTGGTTGGATAAGTGCGACATATTTAGGTGTGACAATAGGAGAAATGGCGATGGGATTAAGAAGTAAAATTGGACAATACCACTGAGTATTACCGGTGCACCAAGAGTATTACTGGTGCAGTGAATGGAGAACGTCTGTAGTTTGTGGAGCCTTATTGGTCAATAGCTTCAGAACCGTCCACGAAGCGAGTCAACGATTAGGGAAAATAATTGCCTCCGTGATTTCAGAGTAGAATAGAGATAGTTGTTCGTTTAGTGAAATGATATTGTAGTGATGAAAACAAGGGCAACCTATATAGCGTAATGTGAAGACAACATAAGGATCACCAATGGTAAGCGCTAAGAGAGTTTAATTATATAGCCTATGTACAGGGTGGTTAAGGCTATAGACATCGATACATCAGGCTAGCTATATGCATGGAAAGGCAAGCGCGATTCGAAGTAGAAAAAGGCGCGCGTTTAAAAACCCGCATGCAGGCGAACCCAGACAGACAATTTAGATTACGTGGGTACATGGTGGCGCTAGAGATTTGTAAAAGATTTTCACTATCATCCGTCAAGCGAACGGATGAATTGTCCGAACGCCACAATATCACTCATTCGACTAATGCAAATAGAAATTGGGTGTTGCCCACCCGAATACACTGCACTACTATGACGCGTTTCGATGTTATTACATGTCATCAGATAGAGTTAGCAGGCATCGAACCCGTGACCATTGGGATGTTAGCTTTGACCGCTACGCCTAAGCCCCCGGGTCACGATGGGCAACGCTTGACACAACGGTTAATGAACGATGTTGAGGGTCATTTTGAAGTACACGTTGTGTGGATAGATTGCGACGCGCAATCTCAATGTTGACCACGATTCCCATTGAAGTGAACCTTGGTCTTTCGATCACGAAGGCCGAGCCTGATGCAAATAGAAATTGGGTGTTGCCCGCCCGAAAACACTGCACTACTATGACGCGTTTCGATGTTATAACATCTCATCAGATAGTTAGCAGACATCGAACCCGGGACCATTGGGATGCTAGTTTTAACCGTTACGCCTAAGCCACCGGGTCACGACGGGCAACGCTTAGAATAACGGATACTTGGCATTCAACTACCTTCGAAAAGCATGTAATGCGCGGCCAGGAGTTGAGGGCGAATGCGAAACAGACAACATAACTCGGTCGGATGCGATGTAAGTTACATCGCTTCGATCTTTTGTCCGCCTTAAGCACAGACAACGCGGCTACCTGGCAGATTAGTCCAGTCAAACGACAATAATCTCGGCACAAAAGTGTAGAGAATTCGGGCGCCGTGATAACAGGAATGCATGGCGATGCTCCAGCACACACCTCTTCGACTGCCCAGAAAACAACCTATGATAGCGGCTTCCAACCCTCACACTGTTCACCGGATCTGGCCCACTCTGACTTCCACCTATTACCAAACTTGAAAAAATAGGTTTGCATAGCCAACATTTTCTCAACCAAATTGACGTCATCGAAGCCGTAGACTTTTTTTAAAATCATTGGGATAAATGATCTTCAGCAGCATTGGAGCAAGTGTGAACACGCCAAAGAAAGCCTTGAAATCTCTGATTGGAGGGTATTTTGAACTACAGGTTGTGTGAATGAATTGTGGACTGCGATTCGCACCGAAGTGAATCTTGGTTAAATCTACCACGGGGACTGTAACTAATGAACCAGGTATATATTGGGTGTTGCAGTGTTTTCGGGCATGAAACACATAATGCTTACCTTGAAATTTCTATATCTGGTCTTTTGAGACTCAACACCTTCAATGTAGTTAGAATGGATTGGGGAAAAACTGGGAAATATTAGTGGAGACGAAAAATAAACGGGTGACTGAAAGCGACATAATGCAGGAGTGATATTACAGTCACTGCGCCTAGTCAGATTAGGTATCAGATCACTGACGTGGCTGATTCTGGGTTACCCATGTATACAACCGACTAGGTAAAACTGTAGCAAACCACATTCACTGAGATGAGCAGCCGACAGATATGCGAAGGATACCGCTTAGCTGACGCAGACAGTAGCATTCCGATAGACAGTCTAGTGTGGAATAAATGGACTAACTAACCGACATCAGCCAGGAAAATCCCAGCAAATGCATTCAGCGCTCACGACGAATATGCTCAGTAATGCGTGGGCGACTGTGGTCAAAAATGGCCAGCTTCATGATGTCCACAATGAGCTAGATCATAGTGTGAATGATACCGTAGCATCAGTCATCGACACACATCCTCTCCGTGATGGCACATTTACTAGGGGCTCCCATGTTGATCTGCTAATCGTTCTGAGATGAGGATAGGGCTGCAGTGGAAATAACGAACGCTTTAGAGATGAAGAAAGAACATTCACTTCAACATTACCATCGGTCAATAAGAGTATCTTATTCGCTCGCTTTAAGCCTTTTTGTAATGCTAACACAAACAGATTTCTGCTAGTTCACTGCGTACCTGAACGCCTACGGTGAAGGAAATAGCGACTGTCCGTGTATGGCATCATGTTGCCGGTATTGCGGAAAAACCACCCTTCTCCGTGTGTTTGCTGACGCATCTTGGCCGGCATCTGAGGAACCTTGCAATAACGGCGAATGGTCCTTAATCAGCGATCCTAATCCCCACTTCCATGAGGCTCGCAGTTCCCTCAACTGGATGCAGACAGGAATTCAACGCTGAGCAAGGAGATCTGACGTTACTGAATATGACAATCGCGCAGATATGGAAGCCGTGACTGCGGATAACGGTGCAAACAATCGGTTTGACGTCAAACCATTCCATTTGACCGTGATCTCAATTTGAGTCACTGACTTAACATTTACTTGCGACATATATCTATATCATTATTCGTGCCTATAGACACCTTCGAATTCGCAAAACAACTTGCTATTTCAACATGGTAACATCCCATAACTTGGATCACATGAATCTACACAATTGTTGCTAAAGAGAGACTAAATGAACTATTACGGACTATATTAACCTGCGCAGCTTAGCAGCAACCGTTGATTGGGACCTACAGACGCACAGCTCAGCGAATGACGCGTGGAATGAACTGAAAGATAAAATTAACTAGGTCATACAATCAGCATCGAAGGTTGTACCATTACGAGCTGCGCGCCGGACCAGTACGTGGATCCCGAGCAGAACACGCAAATGAAAAAACAGAAGATGAAATCTGGAGGCAACATATGCTAAGCCCATGTGATATCACATGGCAGAATTACAAAGCCATCAGAAACTACTGCACGTCACTCATTAGAGTCGATAAGTACGAATGGCAGGAGAACATGATGCTGAAATTTACGAATAACATCAAACTACTATACAGACTTGTGAATGGCAAAAGAAAGGTTAAGCCCGGAATACCACCACTCAGGACGGCCAGTGGCCTAACAACTACTGCTGTGGATGCCACGAACGCTCTACTCTTGCAGTTTGGCTCGGTAGCTACAAATATCATGGAACCTTCGCCCTATCAACTCCCAACCAATGTCATTGGCTTATCCAGCGTCACCTTTACTCCAGCAGTAGTTGCAAGCAAATTAGAGTCTCTCCGAGAGTTCAGGGCCCCTGGAATCGACATGACCTGCCCAAAAGTACTAAAATCCCTTGCTCCCACCATAGCAGCACCACTTGCAACATTTTCCAGGGTCTGTTTAACTCCCACACACTTCTATGAGTGGAAAAATGGAATTATCACTCCAATATACAAAGGAAGTAAGCGATCGGATCCTGCTAACTACCGACCTCCGATGCAAATATTTACAGACGATGCTAAAATATGGAGAGCAATTCGCTCAGCATCCGACCGTGTCTACCTCCAGGAAGATCTGACCCGGATTAACGAATGGGCAGAAAGGAACCAGCTCCCACTGAACCCTGCAAAGTGCCACCTGCTGACCGTGCGCAGCAGCTTCGTCAACAAATACTTTTTGGTTTAACATGTCCTGCACCACGTGACTAGTGAACGCGACCTAGGTATAATCGTGCAAGAGAGTCTTGACAATTTGCTCCAATGTTCGAAAGCAGCAAGTGTGGCGAACTTAAATTTGAGACTTTTGAGGCGAGCTCTCAACACCTTTGAGCCAAGGCTAGTACCATTGCTGATTAACTCCTACATTCGTCCTCATGTTGAATATGCAATTCAGGCCTGGTGTCAATGGTTAAAACGAGACATCCGCCTATTGGCGCAATCCCAAAGAAGAGCCACAAAGGCAACGCGTAGACTATCCGGTATAAGTTATGAACTGCGTCTTGGTGTGCTCGGTGTGTTCTCATTAGAATACCGACGGTTTCGCGGAGATCTTACTCTCACATACCCTATACTAATTGAAGCGAGCATCCATGTACATCACTCTTGACTCTAGTCCCTTACAAATAAAACCAAGGCAACCACCTGAAACTCATGATGCAACACTCCCGTCTGAATTGTAAAAAGTATTTTTACTCACTTAGAATCTGTTCTCACTGGAATGCATTACCAAAATATGTGGTGAACGCACCAGACATGACGAAATTCGAAAGACTCTTAGACTTTCATCTTAGTGATAAACGATACACAACAGTTTGATAAAGTGCAACGATTTAACCATTGATACTTTAAG